CCCCACCGCAGGTGTTTAGAATTAATTTCGACACTGGTGCCTCTAATTTTTTTGTCCCAGCCGTGAACTGTTATACTGATAATTTTGCTTGCTGTATGTAAATCATAACATAACATTTTCTGCGACATTCCATTATTTTATTTATTTTCACATTTATATTATTATACTTATATATTTTATGTTATTTATATTTATACTTATATACAAGCATATTTATGTTTAATAATATTGCTATTACATATGTAGAGATAATATTAATTGCTTTTTTATTTTAATGATTGACTTTAAGTAAAAATATAGGGTACGGAGGCAACCTATATATTTCAAGTATAATTTTTAAGATTATTTGAATTCTAATATTTTTAAAATTAAAATAACTGTTAAGGTAAATACTACGAAATTAAGTTTTACAATCATATATTATTTATTTTATTTATCGTGCTTATTTTAAATGTATAAACGATTATCTTTGATACAATTGATATGTTAAAGCAAAGAAATAATAAATGTTTTCGTTCTGACGATTGTTAACATATATATCTCTAAATTAATAAATAGAAATTTATTTTTAGCATGTTTAACAACAACTGATTATCTGTTATTATTTTATACAGCGTCAGTTACAAATTATCATAACAATAAATCCCACACGTACATAGAAGTTGGTACTACTATCGGACTTGATTACGCGGTTGGTACGGTTATTGGATTCTTATCTACTGATGTAGTGAATGTAGGTTGTCGTCAAGCAAATAGATCGATTTAATTTCAATTATTATTTATAAAGATTTTTTTAAACATTCACATATGTGTGTTTTATAGATTGCTGGCGTTATTGTTCAAAATCAAACATTCACAGAAGCGGTAACACGGGATCTGACTTTTGCCTTTCTGAGATTCGACGGGATCTTAGGAATGGGTTACCCAGAGATATCTACAAAAGGAGTGCCTCCCGTTTTTACCAACATGGTTGAACAAGGCCTAGTGTCGGCACCTGTTTTTAGTTTTTATCTGAATCGGCACGTACCTCCTTCCTATGTCTAAAAATATTATTTCGCTTGAACAGTTCGTTTTACTATATTACAAAACTGTTATTTAATAAACAGTATTTTTAATATTGAAAAACATATAAATTGTACAGAAATTATTATTACGGTAGTGAACTGATATTGGGTGGTTCCGACCCCATTCATCGTTATACCGAGTTCACTTATGTTAATGTCACCAACAAAGGATACTGGCAAATTGCCTTGGATAAGTACATAATTATTTTTTTAACTACGTACTTATATATGTCAACCGATTACACATAAGCTAATTGTTAATGCTATAGGGTAAAAATGAGGCATATGATTTTCTGTGAAGATGGCTGTGAAGCTATCATACACACTGGTTTTCCGGGGATAGCTGGACCAGCATCAGAAATCGAATTTATTAACAACGAATTAGATTCATTAGTACGAGTTGGAATCTTTCATGGAGGAGGTATGATTGTAAGTATATGATAAATTTCCCAATGGCAGCTATTTTCAATGAATACTAAATAAATTACTGAAGTAAATTAATGAATGTCTGATTTGCTCCCGTTGACAATAATATGGTTTATTAATATTAAGTTTAGTTATGTTATTGGTTATATTAATATGAATTATTAATAGCTATTTAACTTTATTTAAAGGTGGACTGCAATCAGATATCTGAGTTACCCAATATTACTTTTTTCCTGGGTGGTAAACCATTCGTACTCACTGCACAAGATTTCATCAATATCGGAACGGTAAATATAGTTAAATTAAAGTTGAAATTCCTGTTCACTCACCTCGAATCTTCAGATTAATGATTTCAGAAGCGATAAAGTACATGAAAACTCATGCAAAATATAATAAATTGGATGCATTTTTTAAGATAATGATTTTTACATTTAATTGAATACACTTGTAAAGAATATACTAACTTTCTCGCAAATCGTATAGTTTATTTTGTTTTCAGGTTACAATTCAATTTTTATTATAAGATTACTTATTGATTTTACTGTAATACATAGAAAGTTTTGGGTATATTTTACAAATATGTCGAATGCAATATTGTTTTATTAAAAAGTACATTTTAATGTTATTTGCAATGTTTTTTTTAAATATATTTTATCGCAGTATGGTAATGAATAGACAAGACCTATAAGCTGTTTTAAAATGAAACTCCATGTCATGTTCAATTTGTTGTAGGGCCAATCGAGCCTTAATGTATGTTCAAGCCCTTTCTTAAATTCCAAGATATATTTTGGTTTGGAGGATATTTGGGTTTTGGGTATTCCATTTCTTAATCAGGTTTATACTGAGTTCGACATGGGTAACGACCGAGTGGGATTTGCGTATGCAACATAAGTATTATTTTCTCAAGAGATTGTTTTAAATGCTGGAATATCATAGAAAATAATGAGCGAATTATTTTCTCTTCCAAAGTTTTTAGAATCTTTTTGGATTTTTTGTTTTTTAATTCTCTTATACTTATGGCGTTGAAATTGTTATTTGGAATTATTTAAGCGTTAACTGCATTCTTGATAAATGCATATGTGATATAATTTATAAAAGTATAACGAAGATGTGCGATATTATTGTTATCAACGTTTAATACAACCCATCTTCCAGCATAATATCGTATTGTCATACGATATTATAAATATGATTCTGTTAATCTTAAATTCTCTCTTTTATTTAGTAAAACGTAAAAGTTGTATGTATTTTTCCATGCGGACTCTGCATTTGTAAACTTATCTAAAATCTATAGTGCAATAAGTTGTCTTTGGTTGTAATTAATGTTATCGAATATATCTTACGTTTATACCAGAGAAAATGATAATAATATAAATCTTTAAAAATAATTTTACGTTATTAAGATTATATAATATAACCAAACATTTTGCTTAAACTTAAGGAATGAATTGAATATACTAACTGTGAGTTCCTATTTCTGTAGATAACCTCGTTTATCTCTTCATTATCCCACTTGTTCTGTAAGTACGTAAAATATGTACTTACATCGGTAGATTACACGACACCTTTCCGATCAACCACATTTACAATATATTATCGTTTGAGATCAATCTGAAAGTAGTAAGGTGCCTTTTCATGCAGCGAATTTTTCGCTGCGAATGATTTTTAGCGAATATCGAATAATTCGCCGCGAATAGTTTGTGAGCGTCGCATTTCGTCGCATTTGCGTGGTTATTGATGGTTACACACCGTTTGAAGGATGCAATCTTATCCAAAAGATATTGGGAAATAAGAAAAATCGTTTCTCAATATCTACTAAAGTATGTATTTATTCTTGGTTATATGCTTTGAAGTGTTTTTAAATGCTGTGTATTTTATAAATATACAGTAAATTATTAATTATCTATAAAATTTTTTTTAATCTTTTTGGATGGAGGATCATTCAGTTATGAACTGGATTATGTTATATAATGTACAAATGCAGTGTTCATTTATTTATACACAAGTATATTATTACCTTAAAATAAATGCACAAAAATCCATTTATATATCTATAATCATTTATATATCCATTTATATATCTTATAATATATTTTATAACATATCTTTACATAGTATATAGTACAACATTCCACGACATTCGCTAAAAGCTGGAAAATTACGGCGAATAGCGATTACTGGCTAGCGAACAGCGACTGATCACGTAACCATCAATGGCGGCGATTTTTCCGCTGCATGAAAAGGCACCTTTATAGTATTTCTTTTTCATCTACGTTTCTTTCATGTCTCTATTTCATAATTTCTTTTCTTTTATTCTTATTTTTACGTGTGTACTCCGAAGTGTACAGATCATAATTGCTTTCCGGTTGTTTCTTTTTATGCTACTTATCGATTGTTCACTGTTAGCGAGTCAAATCGTCTAATACTGTAATTATATTCGCCAAATTATATATCATTTGTAAATAAATTTTTGCGGATTGTTTAGCGCGTTAGTTTTCAGTTGCTCTCATTATTTTAGTCACAGGTTATTATATAATTTTTTTTGTAAATTTATCCTATCAAGGCAAACGATGCATATTTTGAAGATTAATACGAAGTTGAATCAAATATAAACAAGAATTTTTTCTTATTATTTATTGGACGAGCATAAAAATATGAAGAAAACAAATTATTTTTCTATATAGTACTCTGCTCCATTGACATATTTTTGCCAGCTGACTAAATTCATTTAGTAGCTCGTTTTTTTTTATGGGTGAGTATACTTACAAAGAAAAGAGGACCGCCTATAAAATTGGCAGTGGTGGTGGAGGGCCTCTATAGCTCGTTTTTGTTAAATTATACTTTAAAAATTGACAATATATATTTAGAAAAGGTTGAATTTATTAAAAGTCTCCATAATTGTGCGTGTGTGTGTGCTATTAATTATAGAGCCTTAATTTGATATATACTAGTAATTATGTTTGGTAAAAACGAGCTAAAAATTTGCATAAAGAAACATAACTTACAACATAACATTACTTGTTAGTAATTTTATAAGATATTATAAGATAAATGTTATAAGACAAAATTCACTAAATTAATTTGTTCGAATTTTCAATTTCGTTTATTAAAATTCAAAACAACTTTTATTTATATATGTAGGAAATGCGAAATTAAATTTTTTTCGTTCAAGGACCCATTAAATTAAACTATCCCTCCTAATAGTTGGCACGCTTCTATCCTGGAGATTTAGTACAGAGACGAACCACATCTACTTTCGACGATACGATTTTATCGATAGTGTCAGAAAATGTATACAATCACGTAGTTCGTAAACTGAAAATGGATGTACGGGCGATTTTAGCCCGTAACAGGAAAAAGGCCAGCATGGACTCTCTCAGGTTTCTCTCTGGTATAGACTTCAGTCTTCACGTTACCGACGCACGATTGCTCCGAAATGAACTATCGAGAACTTAACAGTAACGGCGTAATCTCTTGGCGAACAATCGTATTTCCGCTTAATACCGGGTGATAAAAAATGACAAGAAATGGAGTAATCTCGCTAGTGCGTTAAAGTGTATATAATAAATAATTGAACTCATGGTCTGAGTAAACAAATAGTGAAATGAGTCAGAGATTAAGGTACAACTGTAGCTATGTTTAAAGAGGGGGACAACGAGAAAGGAAAATAAAAGAAAGAGAAAGTATAACAGAGAGAGGGAGAAATACAAAGCTATAGGGCAGCTGAAGGGAAGTTGGCGTCCAGTTACTGTCGCAACGATCGCGTCGAGTAAGTTGTCAAACTAACAATTTCCCTTTATCACATCGATCGGAGCACCTGTCAATTCACGACCGTGACATTGATCTTAAAACATATATGTACGTTTCTATAACTATACTCGTCGTTTCCATCGATCGAGAACGCGAACAATGAGTCGTAGTAAGCCACGCGCATTCCTACCGCTCGCTCGCTGCTTTGTACTCCAATCACGATATTAGTTCTCGCTTAGTGTGATTAAATGTTTTCTTTTTCTTCTTCTCGCGAACGCCGTTCATGTCTTGCTTGAATTGCAATTCATATATAGAATGTGTTAATGAAATCTGAGTTAGTATTTATTATTGAGCTGCATATAGAGTGCTTAATGTAATAATGACACTTATGATACAATAACAATGGTGAAGAAATTTTATTGATAATGACTTAAATATTATAGTGGAAGACATGTTTCTACGTTAGTATATTATTCATTCTTTTTTTAATTTGCATTCTGTATAAATAATTCATGCACACAGTTTATACTTTCATGAAGTTCATAATGCTCTTGTGTTTTTCTTAAACGTTTGTTGAAATATTTTTAATTTAATTTATAGCCAGTTCCACACAATTGTCTTGTTAACTTAAGTTTGTAATTAAAAAATAATTTTAATAGATGTAGCAAGAACTAATTAGTTCTTGTTAGAATTATAATATCTTTTTGTTACAGATTGTGTAGTCTCAGGAATCAAGAGGTTATTCGATGAGAAGAAGATTTCAATTTAATCATAGCCATGGATACGGAACTCTCTGATCAGTTATATCGAATTCAAGCCGTTGATCGCGCCCGTAAAATACCCAGCGTGAATTACTTGTGGGATAAATCTACAGAGGTGTACGAACGTGTAAAAGGCACAAACACGTTTGTAAATTGGGCTTTTGACACCGTTGAAAATGTGTTGAATATGATGATAGAGAAGTCCCTGCCAGTCGCTCGATTGATGGAGAAACCAATTTATACACTGGATAAAACATTGTGTCAGGGCATCGATTTTGTCGAAGGAAACTTGCCAATAATTAAAGAAGAACCCAAACAGGTTATACATATATATACATATATACATATTTCTCTCCACAATATGAATCTTTAATTATTTGATTTCAAATTTATAAATGTATTCATTTTTTATATTCTGTCTTTTCCAGATATTGAATCGCACCAAATCTATGGTATCTGAACATCTCCGTCCTGCGGTAAAAACTTTTACTAATTTAAAACGGGAAACCAAGCAGAGAGTAAGGGTTATGACTCTACTTACATATTATAAGGTCCACTACCTACGTATCTACAGCTGGCAACAAGCCGACAGAGTCATGTCAACTGAAACTGGTATCAATATTTTAAGAACTGTTGATAACACTACCGATTTTGCTGAAGTTATGTTGAACAAGTATCTACCTCCATCGGAGGAAGAGATTCATACAGATACAGGTAATGTTATATACCAATTGTTACAAATAGAAATTTAACATAATAAAATTAAAAATACTACTTAGTAATTTTTTGTTTATGTCTTTAAAATGGAATACATAAAAAAATATAGAAATATAAGAAAAGTAGCTTTAAACAAATGTTATTTCGCATGCAAAATATGCAACAGCTGAATAAGATTCCCTCTCTTAAATGCAAGTCAATCGTAATCGTAAATACATAATAAACATAAAATTATGCAATAAAACCGCACTTTAATTAAGCCAGAAAATATTTTTTCTTTAATAATACTAATTAATTTATATTTCTAGAGCGATTATGTAGTGAACACGTTAAGCTGCATCATACGATGGAAAGATTGAGCGAATTCAGTACTCGAGCATACAGACGTATTTATTACGCATTAATGGAGAGGTTGCAGCACATGTATAAGATAGAAATACTTATTTTGGTATTACATGTTCTTGTGGTCATTCAGGCGATCAAGTTTTTGGAATCGGTAGTGAGTTTAATTTTTAAATTATTTAGTGACTGCCTCTTTTCGTCTTAGAAATACGTTCTAGTCCGTTTTATAATCGTGTATGCAATAGCACTTAAGAAATCAGACTATTTTTATTACTTTTACACGAAATTATTCCCGAGTATATTTTACTTGCAAACTGCGAATTTTACTTAATGAGAACGTCGTGAAACGTGTGACTATTCGCGGAATAATTTCATGGTCCAAAATGAATTAAAAAGAAGTTGTGCTCTCAGCCATGATATATGGCAACTTTTTCTCATGATATTTCGCATTTGCACATTTCCGACTTTTTAAATAATCTTCCAACTGCCGTTTATTAAGAGAAATAATCTAATTATTTTTAAGAAGAAACTAAATCTCTATATATAAACTAATTTTATAGAGATAATTCTCTTTTTAAATATATAGGATATTTTAACGCTCTTTCTCTTAATCGTGAACATTAACCTAAACTAAAATTTCGAAATCTAAATAAAATTAAAATAATTTTTATATAATAAAACGTTAAATTTTGAATCATAAACTTTTAAATTAAAAATTAGGAAATTTTGGTACATTAAACAAAGAAGTATAAAAAATCATAGAATTTATAATAAATTATTTAAAATGGTATTTTAATTTAAAATTACCAAAAAATATAATAACAAAAGGAAATACATATAATAGTGTTTATATTTATAAATTATTTAAAATGGTATTTTAAATTAAAATTACCAAAAAATATAATAACAAAAGGAAATACATATAATAGTGTTTATATTAACAATATCCTGTATATTTATTATCGTTTTTACTTTGCCGTGTTTTAAATGTGTGACATAGGCTAAAAAAAGAGAAAAATATCCCTGTTTGAGCATTTATCTTTATATGTATTTTACCATTATGTGTTACACTCAGATTTTTAATCTAACTAATAATGTTTCAAATGTGTGTGTTGGTCGGATTGCTAGACCGTATATATTCACGAGGACGAATCAGCAAAACGATTATCGTTGTTCTTTTTTTAAGAATATAGCACGATATATTTTTCGATAAGATTTGTCCGTGTTTTCAAAGATATAACTGCGTTTTTCATACCCTGTTATCATGTGACGGGCATAGGTATTCGAAAGGCGTGGTACTCGCACATGACATAAACGCTTAATAATGTCTTATTTCTGCCACTTCTTTTAGATTTGTATGTAAGGTTTGTTTTTTACGCAGATAGACTATTTAATAAAATGTAATGTTACTGTTGAGCAAAATTGATCCCGAATAGATAACAGCATTTTATTGTATTGACTATAGTCGATCTAGACATTCGTGCAATAATATATGTGTCTAGGAATAATTACGGATGTTAAAACAAATTGAAAATTGAGATTTTAACTATAACGACTGTGATGAAAAAAAAGTGATTAATTTATTCCTATTTTATATCATGTCATATTATTTTGACTTAGATAACATAAATATGAATAAATTAAGCATTATAATTATAAGATTTTGCACACTTGATAACATTAGAAAAAAAATTATATAACAAATATATATATATATATATATATAATTACATTAAGCAAGATGATTCGTAATTAGAGTGCGAAAATTCATTTCATACTTGGATAATATATTCGAGTGTTTGTTTTATAGAAATCTGTGTGTTATTTTGAATTAAGTATTATGTATTTTGAATTAATTGTCTCTTTCACTTGCGTGACGAAGTTAATAAAAAAAAAAAAATAGAAAAGTTTCTATTTGGTTTAATGAATAATGGACCCAAAAATAACTGCCATAATAAGTTTTCACTTGGAAAATGTCGTAAAGTTTCACATCCTTTGCACTCTACTTATGTCAAAGCGATTAGTGACTTATAAGGCGGACAGACTACATATGATTGTACATTACATTAACATTACGTAATTCTGCAATTGTTTTCATTCTCTGTACTTACTAATGCATTTGTATAAATAATTGCATATAAAAATGTAATTAAAAACCTACTATCGAAGTACATTTATTTACCCTATATTCGCGATTGCTGTATATTAGTGTTTGTAATAAACGTGTTTAATGTGTGGTCAGCGTTGAAATTGTTATAGCAAAACAGACAGTAAACAGTCGATATAAAAATCCAGTTATCCGGTCACGGCTGCTTTTTTTTAAACAAACCATTTCTCAAAGAGTTGGTCTCAAGTCGAGAGATAAGAGGCTCCCGAGGCACCAAGCGCGCGTTGAAGAAACGAGAGTATATTTTTCTGATGTCAGTGTCGGAGCATTTATCACGTCCCATCCTGCGATCCGTGGAAAACCGGGATGAAGTGATGCGCGATGGCATCGTATATGCGAAACATTCGGCAAGCTCGCTGCGAGAGAAAAATAAGCGTTCGTGTAGTCGCCGGCAATACGATGGCAGGGCTTTCGCAATCTTCATTATGGTATCTTCATCAGTCGTTTCACATTTAATTCCGTTGCAAGCCTATAGGAAGAATATAATGAAGAAGAGATTAACACGTACGGAGCTATCATGAACATTTTTCATCAAATGAAAGACTACTTCATATCTCGGCAGAAAAGCAATGGAGAAGCTTATATACTTTTTTAATTATATGTCTATTTTTTATTTGATCAAAATTAATATATTTCTCAGTTTTCTCTCTCTTTTCTTTCCGTTCTCTCTTTCTATGTTATATATAACAATAGATTCTCAAATATTATTATGATTAAGTCGTCTCTACTAAACGATTATTAATCCATTACGGATAAAAAAATTTGAAGGTTTTACTCGTCAATGTTAATTTGCTAAAAATACAAATACTTCCTATTATTCTCGCAGATAGCATTTATCTGAGAGGCAACATCCATATAAAATACAGGATGACAGGTATTTATGCCAGATGTATCTGCTTGCTCGTCACTTACTCATTTAAGTTTATTCTTTACGTCGTGTAAAACGCGGTACTGGCATATCCGTGGTTTAGGCATACGTAACGGACAATATAACGTCACATTAATCATCGGAAGTCAACGCACGTTTCTCTGTGCCTCTTAAAACGTCATTCTTCCTGCCGGCCTCATCACGGCGTATGCATTTGCGAACGGACGGACGTCTTTTCATTAACGTGCTCGCAGATAATCCTGATGTACTACTGCTTGGATGTATACGATGCGCGATGCAACTTTCTCGAGGAATGCGGTTTGATGGGTGTAGCGTTGCGAAAAGAGAAAGAAATGACCATTTAATGTTGAAGCGATGCTTACGTGCGCGTTATACTGAGTTGTAATGTATGCGAAGGTTACTTCAAGAAATTGGAAATAGGGTCTCTTGAACCATAAAGCAGCGGTTCTCAAAATTCCTGATTCAGCTGATTAAATATTCGAAAAATCGTTAATTATTTTAAATCTAAATTGATCACAATTTATATTTAAAATAAATGCAGATTAAAAAATTTTATTTACTTTATTTTTAATTCAAGATATCTTCTTTTTTAATGAAATGATAATTGAATGTCGAATGCAAATAAAATTTAAACACGATTATAAAGATGGATTTCGAACTTAATCAAGTTTTATTCCATATCATAGTCTCCTGCGTAAAAATATGGTTAAAATAATGAGTAAAAATATTAAAATTAATGAATTACTTTCTGAAATATAAATAACTAAAATATTTTAATGTATGAGTTAGTTTTATTACATGTTAGAGAATTAACAGAAAAAAATATTTTACTATTACTTTTAATATTATTTAATATTATCTAAATTAATATTATTACGACCGAACGGAGATCTTGTCGAAATCTCTCGAATAAAATTAGGAATAAAATAAAGATCAATCCATGCCAACAGTGCCAACTCATCATCCTTTAAAAAACAGCGATTTCCCGGCGATGTTCGTGAATCGCGTTTCTGACAGCAAATATTCCTCTATATCTCTCCCGAATATTGTAACGTATACAATAAATTCCAGTTGCATTTTTTGTAAACGGAGCTGTTTATTACTTATGAGAATCTCCTATGTACGTAAGTATCCGCGAGAGCTCGCGATGAACGGATCCGACAGACGCAACAATATTCAAATAAAATTTTAATTCTAATAAAACTAACAAAAAATAGTTATAAATGTAGGTATATAATCGCAATTCAAAAAATTTGTAATTTAGAAATAAATGAGGAAACTATTATAACTTGAGAAAAATATCCATTTTTATACATTGTACTAAGAGAAAAATGTCGAAATATTGCGAAACAAATGTTACTTACGACGTTTTCTTAAATATGTATTAGTTACAAAAAAGTTAAACACAAATTAATTATGATGGCGAAATATACATTTCTGTGAAATACATCTTATTAATTATTAAAAAAATAAAATAGATATTTGCTGAGAATAAAATGTTATTACCGTATTATTTTATATTATTTTACCGTATTTAAATAAAGATTTATTTCGGTGAAATAAATATGTTTCTTACAAATAAATTTTTAAGTATCTTTTTCTCAGTGTATCATTGAAAATATTAAGATTCTGAATAAAAAGTTGTTTCATTGAAGTTTAAGAGTAACAATTGTAGAAATTGCTTCAAGATCTTTTTTTAGTCTATACCGTTCTTTTACCTTTCGATATTTCCAATAGTTTCAAAATTATTGATTTTGAAGCCCTTTTGTTCACGCGAGATCCCTGAATGCGCGCTACTGTGCCCATGTAGCTATAAATTCTTGGACCTTCATAAAGTTTGAAGACTTTCAAGATGTGTCAAGACTTTAGCGCTATCGATACTTTACGGAAGTTCTAAAGTATGTTACTGCTAAGAATTTCTTTTTTAATTCCTCCTTAGAGGATCAATATCCTAGAGACTTCAAACAATTCTACAAAAATTCTTCCTGAAGGTATTTTTCATGTGTGTGCGATGCGATAAAAATTCTTCAATTATAAATATTAATGCAATGTTTTTGTTTAATACTTTGTTTAATTTATTATTTAAGCTGGTATAACATAATTTCAATTAGTACACTGAAATTAATATAACATGATGACACGACCTGAATTAAAAATTTGATTTACTTGATAAAATAGAGATAAGAAATATTCTGATATTTATTCTTTATCCTGGCATGTTTTAAGATATATGATAAGATATATGTCGCTAAAAACAGGAAAGGACAAAACAATCCAATTATTCATCGCAGACGCTCAGCGTATAGGGTCCACGGTTCAATGAACATCGACGCTGAAAAACATGGAGAACTAGTAGTGGTTTTCGCATGTGAGTAAATCATCAGTACATCCCCGACAAAGATACGCGTGGGTTGCACAGAACACACGT